AAAGTACCTATTGTATAAAAAGTTTACATTAGGTATATAATATATATAGTTATATAATTTTTTAAACTGTAAGAAATAAATATTTAAGCTCATTTTTATAGAGTGCCTAGCTATATTTTGAGGTATTTTATCATTTTTTTACAGCATTAAAATCCCAGTCCATTACTCATTATTATACGTTACTGTTTTTGTATGGAGATAAATAATATATCGTCTACCATACTTAAAAGTTATAACAATAGTGTTATTCATATAAATTAATATCATGTTTGTTATTTCGGTAAAATATCTTATAACATACTAATATATTATGACGATCGCTTTCGCTTTTCGATATATAGCTGAAGTAATATCCGTGCTCGGTGCATTTGGTATTTATCCGTACACCAAAACTATTGTTTATTTTAATCACTTTATAGTGCCTAGCTGGAATATATAGGACTTGTCTTCGGAAATGTTGCTTTTGAAATTTGAATAAACATTGAAAATAATTTCCTCCGTCAAACCGACACACCTATAACAGTGGGACAATTACGAAGGTACGTTGTATTTTTCAATTAGTGTTTCGTTTTAGACTTCGACACGTCACTATACACAGCTGAACTTTGATCAAGCATCTGTACACGACCGGAGGCTCAGTGGCGTCAGACGTGTATAAACGGAAAAGTCTAGCTTTTGAGCTGTTCGGTTTCTCTGCAAAACCCGTCGACACGACGTACAATATGGTGGGTCAGCAATTATCGCACACGATTCCTACGTTTACGGATTTATAACGACAAGACGTGTGTGTCGTACATTATGTCGACACCAATCGGGAAACCGTCGCGTCTGAAGCCCCCGGCCAAAGTCCGGGCCGTACGTCGAAAAACACATCTCTCTTGCGTTTAACTCGCCCGCGGACTCGGCAGCCACCAGCAACCGTGTTTATAGCACCCCCCCCCCTCCCCACACACACACACGTGAAACCGCGGTACATGTTATATACTTACGTCACATTATTATGTGCTCGCCGTATGGAGACGGAGGTGCAAAATTCGCGACGTCCCCTCCGCGGTGACAATAATAATCCTTTTCAGACGTTCGCGCGCGCTGAGAGATTAACCAGTAAACCGACGGTGACAAGCAAACAACGTCGGCGTCAACGTCTATTTAACGTTCAATCAAACAAACGGGCCGGCGGCGGCGCGCGCACGCACAATTATTTCTCGTCGTCCCCGGTGACCGCAAACACGCCGCAGATCGATTGTTTCGGCGGGCGGAAGCTGTACGCTCGCTCGCACGGGGTGTGCGCATTGTCGTGCAAAGCGTGCGCCCGTGTGGTGCGGAGGTCGTTTGTATAATAATGTACGACATGAAATCCTGCACCTCGATGATATGGTTTGGTGGCGTTGCAGGTGGATATTTGACATTTTTCAGAGGCAAGTCAGTACTATTCCAGCCACCCAACCACCTACTCACTATACCTACCACCCGGTAAAGTCTCTGTCACTTATTGCTGCTAACCGTACACGTCCGTACCGCACCTGTGGCAGTAAATACTAAAATACTATACTTTAGATTATTACCCATCATAGGGTTATTACTAGTCATCACTATTGGTGGTTGCAGACCGGAAGATTCGCGCCGTGTGTAACCTACCTACCACGATGGCTGGAACCCGACTGAGCACGATTGACCTTTTTCACAACCCGATTGAGCATGATTGGAATCAAACGATAGGAACCCAAAAAAAACCCAAAAGCAACACGATTGAGCACGAAAATAGGTGCGACGTTGCCATTGTGTATCGTAGAATATTATTTTTAAAAAATAAGACACATTTGAATGTAAATGTTTATAAATAAAAATCTTTTATTGGATTTTAATCACATATTATTACATAATTATGTATGTCAGTTAGTTTATTATATTATATTACAATTACAATTTATTCCGCTAAATACTGAATATAAAAATATATAATTTAAAAAAATGTTGAAAAATACCAATCAAAATGAATTAAAAAATAAAAATTTAAATTTTTTTCCCTAAATAATTATTTACAATTTTAAATAAGTATTTAAGTAAGTTATCAACATTTTTTAATTCAGAGTACTCCTGATAAGCCTTTATAAGCTCCAACATTTGCCAACTTTTTACCTCTCTCGGATAAAATAATTTTTATTTCATTATTTTCCATCATAAAATTTGCACACTACCGTACATCGAGCACGAGGCAACAGAACCATAGACTGACTGTGACCAAGTCTTATTTAGATAAAATTCTGGTTTCCTATCTATCCCAGTTATTTTCAACTTCCGTGGCAAATCGATAGCAAAATCGTTTTCGACTAATATGTTAGAAATTACCTATTGGTATATCTACACAACATACGTAGGTACTAGTGAAAATCTGACAACGTTGTACACAATATTTTTTTTTATCGTGCTCAATCGGGTCGTCTAAAAGGTCGGCTGATAACGACCGTGCTCAATCGGGTATCACCGACCACGATTATTGCGTTTTGGGCGACTAACGCGGTCTCCGACATACGGCTAAGAGTCTAAGACGACAACAGTCGTACAAGTGCAGGTCCGATTTACGAGCTTGTATAACAAGATTAAATCTATATCCCTGGCTTAGCTGTCCCTTGGAAATTTCGAATAAACCACAAAAATATTTAAAACAATTGAGGATAAAATTCTCGATATAAGTATATATATAAGGCTCAAAGATAACGAGTAAATATAAGTAGGTGCACTGCTCGAAATATGCCAAAAATTATTATTCGTATATTTATATTTTTCTCAAATCCGACAGACCATGTTTGATAGTATATTGCATATGGTAGTCTCTCGGTGGAATACCTAGAAATTGATTCTTTATAAATTGAAAAATACTATAAAAATCAATTGCGGAATCAGATGGTAGATTGTGGAAAACTCCGAGCACTCGAGAGGACAACTGGATGGATAGGATTTTCGGATTTGAAAACTCAACCACTAACGACTCGTCGTAACAGTTTTTAGTCTTAAGAGTCAGTCAAACGTATATTCTACTTTATACACATTCGGAAATTTCGTATTTTAAGCTAGCGATGGATAGTCCGCCGCCTTGGGCGTAGTGACTGACCAGCGTTCGAAATTGCTAGTCCCACGCGATTTTGTCATGTTTTCCATTGTTTATTCACTGTATACGAATATTATATTAAATACATCAATAGTACATATGAATCCAGAGGATATATTTTTCCCAGCTGCAACGTGACCAGAGAGTCAGAGGGATGACTATATAGTTACATTTATAAGGTATCCAGATTCCAGAGAAGGTCATTATCCTTATATGGATATTAGTTTACCAAAGGTGGGCATTATCTAGTTAAAAATATTAAGTTGAGGCGTTGAGCAAAAAGGTTAAAACAATTTTTAACTTTATAACTTAACTACAGTTAAAGATAAGTTCATTTTCTAATTAACTTAAAAATTTAACTAGTCTCGTTGACTATACCTATTGATATAACTTCTAATTTAAAGTTTATTTAAATGTTTATAAATATCTTGTGAAGTATTTCAGTTAATATATATTCCGATATTCGAATACCTAATATATTTTAGCGTACCTATATAGGTATATTATATTTGTATTTTAAAATCAAAGATAATTACAATAAACATACATATTATCATACTATATCAATACATTAATCGTGGTATTATTACCAATAATCAATATACAATTAAAAAATGCACATTACACGCGTGCAATCAGATAATGCGATGACCACTGTTTCTTAAAAAATGTTTATTGTCTTTTAAACTAAACATTATAATGTTCCAGATTAGTAACAGATTATTACTGTAGACTTTAGTTTAAATACTAATAAAACAACAAATTAATAATCATATGGCCATTTGGGACTTATACGCATGCATCACTTTGAATCGTTTGCAATGCTTATTGTCGAATTTAGAGTGGCAGACTTTGACAAAAATAGTCGACTAATGGGTAGGTAGAACGGTTCCTGATACCTGCTACCTGGAGGATTATCTATACAGAAGTTGAGTTGTTTAATAATCGTGATGCTTTAATCTACGACCAACTAACGAACCCTGGATAAAGCAGTGGAAATCAAACGATTTACACATCTGATTTATCGAATTATTATAGCTCGAGTTTGAAAATAGCCTGTAATCGCATGCATCGAGTACGACATTTTCATTCAAAATCCATCAAAATGTAAGAATGCATTTTGAACTCGATTGATGTAGGTACTCAAAGTGTCGATTGGAGATTCTGGTGGCTCTGCACTACAGTCACCTACACTCTAATATCGTACGTCCTACCAATAGGTACTAGTTTTTATAATCAATGGCACTACGTACGGATTAGAGCGATGTAGAGTGACAGAATTAATTCAGGGAATAGCATAAACTTTAAGGATGACTGTACCATACAGTCACCTACACTCTAATATCGTACGTCCTACCAATAGGTACTAGTTTTTATAATCAATGGCACTACGTACGGATTAGAGCGATGTAGAGTGACAGAATTAATTCAGGGAATAGTATAAACTATAAGGATGACTGTACCATATACCAGATAGTTACATATTATGACAAGGCACCATATTATAATATTGTATAGGGGGACGGAGTGGTCGAGCGGACTAAGGAGTTCGAACCCCGGCCACGGACGGCACTTCTCTTCGGGCAGTCACGCTGTCTGGAGAGGGAGGCTGCCATCCCCCACTCGGGCATGGCAGATATCTACGGGTGCCCACTTGAAAATTCTGCCAAACTAAAAACACACGTATTTAAAACCTACAGTACCCTCTCCAACAGTTAAAAACTACCTAATATATAAAGGGCCCTTTAGACGAACGCTTTTTTTGGCGCGATTGGAATGTGGCATTCCAAACTCGCGGGAAAGAGTGCTCGTTTAAACGTAATTTATCCCACAGGCTTAGATCGTGAGTATTCTGTGCAGTTTATCCTTGTATCTTGGAGTGTTGTTTCATTTACACGTACATGGTTTCTCCACACGCCAAGCATGCAAGATAATTAACTATCGATATGAAGCAGTTATCGATATAAATTAATAATCGATATATGTAAATCATCGATACCGATTGTACTCTAATGTAACTCGATGTAGAAATACAAGTGCTGAATTTCATATCTTCATATGAATTTCCTGTTGCTAAGAACCTTAATGTGGCAATTAATCTTTCGCTGCTACTGATGCTTGACCTCATAACAGTATCCATTTTACAAATTTTTGGTCCTACCAAATTCAATAAAACGTCAAATGATGCAGAATCCATCCTAAGATAATTTCTAAAATCATCTGGGTTGTTTTCCCTTATTTCACTAAGTAAAGGTATATTTCCAAATTTAGATTTGTCCAGTTTCCAATTTTTCACCCATTGTGATCTCTTTTTTCTTTGCTTTGTTGTGATTATACTTATAGCAGCACATGCAATTGCCAATTGCTTTTTCTTATTATGTTGTTTGTACATTCTATTATGAATACCTATAGTATTAATAAATTGATTGGTTTAATTAGACACTTCTTTGTTAGTTATTTAAAATATTATTAAAAATCATTATTTTACTACCGAAAGATAAGTTAGTTTGTTAGTCTTAAATTTGGAGACGCTACAAATATTTAAAAAAAACTATTGGAGGGGCTTCAGTACATATACTTATACTTACTTCAGTTGAGTGGTTAAATCAAGATTTAGACGCTTTTCAGACTTGTATAATATAGGTACTAGGTACTCCTTTTTGTGCGATCAAAAATTAACATTTATACTATTATTAAAAAATACAATTAAGCTAAGCACCACTACATAAATGAAACAAATAATTTAAAATAATTATATTTATTATTTTTGTGATAACAAACCCAATCCTATGATAATTCACTGCAAAAGTGTCGATATTTTCAACACGCCACACGCCACTCTATGCGTGCGTGAAAGACACAGTTTTAGCCTTTACACAGCCACGCTTTCCTACATTCCCAGACAACCAGGTAAAGATCGAGCGCCTGGAGTGTTCGTTTATTTGCTACCACACTCTTCGCGCGCTACGTGCCTATCCGCCGCGACTGACTGCATGCTTGGCGCGTAGTATTGGCGCGCCAAAAAAAGCGTTCGTCTAAAGGGCCTAACTTAGTTTCCACAGGTTAATTAATGAAAAAAAAAAATTGTATAATAACAATATAAGTATCTGGCTTCTCTGCAGGTTTACAATAATACATTTAGCCACTTGGGTATATTGCAGACGTGCCTATACCTACCTATCATACTTCGAGTGAACTATATACCTATAAGTATAATAATAGTCCTGATTTCATAAAATTATATTATATATAATTAAATAAACCGATCGTGATCGTATTCATTTTTTTTTTTTAAATATTTCAATAACCGATAATTTTCCCTCTCATATATATACATATATATATATGTACAACAATAACACTGTAAATTTCAGCTTCTGTGTATATTATATGTTATTGTATATAAATTTAAATAATCGAAAACGCCCCAAGTATACATAGCAACATAATATATATTCTGTATGGTGTATACCAAAATACCAAATTGTACGCATAATTATCATTATACCGCACGGCTCACACACACGGTATCATTTGGTCATTCGGACCCGAACACATTATCCGCGCGTAACACGATATCATTATAATATTAGGTATATCATAATGGGATTCGAAAAACAATATAATATGCGGTGCAGATACGTCGATATTTCGTCTCGGGACTCGTACAGGTACTACTCATAATATTATAATATACTGCATTAAACAGTAGTGTGTGTGTGTGTGTGTGTGTGTGTGTGTGTGTGTGTGTGTGCATGTAATATATATAATCACGTGAGTACCTACAGAATATAGACGATCAATGCATAATATGTATATAATATTGGTTCGTATTTCGTTGGTATGTGTCGTGTCATTATACATAAGTCGTTCGTACAAACAGGGTTATGTATATATTTACGCGTAAGGATATAAAATATATACTACAATGGGCTACTATCCGGCGACCGGCAATAACGCGTATTATGATAATACTAGCTCTCCGAGCGTCGCTGGGGGACACCCCCAGACCCCCGTGAGCGGACCACGAGTGTTGTCGTTTTCGGAAGCAGCGGTGATCTCGTGGTGTGGTCGTGGGTCTCAGCCGACGCGGTGTATGGGTGATGTGGAGGTCTGGTGATAAGGATAGGACCACTGCGGTTCGACGTGGTAGCCTGTGGTAGCCAGGGCAGAGTCTTTGACAGAGTCTTTTCGACGACGCCGCCGGAAATTCGAAATTTGATAAAAAAATAATATAGTAATTTTTGTGGGTATCTAGCAGTTCGGTCACCTAGAGTGACGTTCGCCGTAGTAGGTAATAGTATTTGGGGTCTAGCGGGTCAGTCACGTTCCTCGACTTTGGTCGTAGTCACCCTTTAAGACAATATTCGACGGTCGGGGCACGTCATCACGTATGCAATCCGACTGCGTCGAATCGCGGACGACGTTCATTACTGTTACCGAAAAATCAAAAAAAGTAATAAATTACTTGAAAAGTATTTAAAAAATTTCGGACGTCCATGCAAATCATATAGCCGCCGTATTTTTTAGGGTGTCTAGCAGGTCAGTCACCTCGAATGACATTCGCTATAATAATAGGAGTAGGCTATCCGACTTGGGCGGATAGCGGACACTGTGCGACGGCCGGGTCACGTCATCACGTATGCAATGCGACTGCGTCGAATCGCGGACGACGTTCATTACTGTTACCGAAAACTCAAAATTAAAGAATAAATTACGTGAAGAAAATTCAAAATATTTCGCTTGTCCATTCAAATCATATAGCCACCGTCTGATTTTTCGGTGTTTCGATGTTATCCGGGTAGGCAATGTGCGGCCGGGACAGCGTCCATTCGTCACCGACAACGCAAAATTAAGTTATGAAATACGTGAAAAAAAATTGAAAACATTTCGTAAGCAATCCGACTACCGAGTCACCTTCCTCGACGTAATTACGCGAAAATATGTTTTAGGGTCTAGCAGGATCTAGGGTCTAGCGTCGGATAGCGGACAACGTGTGACTTCTGACGCAAAATTAAGTAAAGAAATTGGTATATGTTTTGGTGTCTAGCAGGTCAGTCACCTTCCTCGACGTTGGACGTAGCAACCCTGGTAGGCAATCTGACTTCGTCGGATAGTGCGACGTCCGGGTCAAGGCATGAAAACGCCAAATGACGTAAATCAAATGTATATAAATAATAACCTTTCGGGCGCCCGTGGTAGTCATAATATAGTCGCCGTGATTTGTTGAGTGTCTAGCTAGTCGGGCGGGCACGTTTAATAGTTTTTGTCGTTTATAGTAATTAGTAGGTAGTAGAGCGATTTAGAAGCAAAACTCGATAAGCTGATGACGTTTCCGTTAATCATCTATATATGACGAAAAAAAAAACGCGAAAAAAACATTGAAACTTTTCGTCGCATATTTTCATTTCAGTATATAGTAATAACGACACTGTCCGCTCTCCGATCTCCTCCGCGGCACTCGACTCGAGCGATGTACTGACTTATACATTTGGCGGGGAACGCGAATAAGCCTTCGACGGTGAAACTCGAAAAAATCGTAAAATGTTCGTTATAATATGATAAGGCTGAAGTGAAATCGAAAAGTAATAATAAAGAAAAAAGTGAAAAAAAAATTCCGGCGGCCTTGCTACCTATCTACCTACCTACTGAGTTCAGAACGCTATATTCGAGAAAAAAAAAGGAACCTTCGACGCATGCATTTCGATGCCTGCGTATATAGTAACACCTACTCGACGGTGGTCGAGTAAATGTAGAGGGGAACGCGAATAAGTCATGAACTGGGATTGCAGAAGTGTCGAAAAGGGCTAAAACTGGAATTTTAGAAAAAAACGGCAAAAAACGACGCGACGCATATATTTAGCGTTACCTACTCAAGTTTCTGCGACGCCACTCCTCCCCGGGACTCGTATCTGAAAAAGTAGGGCCGCGCGCCGGCTGTAAATTTAGCGAATAAAATCCAAACGGGGAGGGCGATACGACCGAAACGGGCTAAAAATCGAATTTTTGAAAAAAACTGCAAAAAAAAAAAATCGAACTCTTCGACGCATATATTCAAGCCCGTGAATAGTAATAAATAGTATCAAGGACTGCTTTGACGGGGAACGCGAATAAGTCTCGAAGTCCGTAGAGGCGGTAAAACTCGAATTTTGAAAAAAAATCGAACATTTTCGTTAAATACGATAAGACGGAAGTGATAGCGAAACGACGAAAAAAAAAAAATTAAAAAAAAAATTCAGTTTTAACACGGCCGCCGCAAATTATCGAATATCCCGGGAGCCGGGTTCGAAACCACGACCCTCGAGTCACCTGTCCTAACGCCTAACCAACCTAGCCACCTACTAAGATGAAATTTACAGTCAATTGTATGACTGTTAAGCCACGTCACCGTGCACGCGAAAGGCGAACGCCGTTTGGACGGCCGTCAAAAGGCGTTTGAGCGGGCGATCCGACCGTTTCGGCGAGAGGACCTCCGAATCCGCCGCCCTCTGACGTATAAAACGCGAGATTTGCGAAAAAAATCGAACCTCGAGACGCATGTATTTATGCCCGTATATAGCGGTACCTACTCTCGTTTCCGCGACGCCGCTTCTCCCCGGGGCTCGTTTTTGAAAAAGTAGGGCCGCACGCCGGCTATAAATTTAGCGTGGAACTCGAATACGTCGCCGACGGGTAGGTCGGACGTCTCGTAGAGGTGCTAAACGCGACTCTAGTCGAAAAAGTCGAGAAAACCGTCGAAACGGCGACGACGCGGCGCTCTCGGCGATCGACTGGTCCGCCGGGGGACTGGATTATAAAAAAGAAGGGCCGCGCGCCGAATACAAATTTAGCGGGGAACGCGAATAAGATCCAAACGGGGAGGTCGATACGCCCAAAAACGCCTAAAACTCGAATTTTCGAAAAAAACGGCAAAAAACGCGCGCGACGGCGGCGCTCCGTTGGCACTCGAGATCCGCCGCCGCGGGCCCGCCGGGCCAAAAGTAGGGCCGCGCGCCGACTATAAATTTACCGAGGAACGCGAATAAGGTCCGAACGGGACCTTCCGAGGCCCCCGAGGGGGGTAAAACTCGAAAATTTTGAAAAAAAATCGTGAAAGACGGTCGAAACCGCGAAAAGCGATAAGGAGGAGTGATAGCCGCGATTTCCCGCCATTCGTTCCTTTACTGTCCCTATCGGTGTGGATTTTACTGTCCCTATCGGGGGACCCGAACTCCTCCCCTGGGGGGGATAGGGGGTCCGGGTTGGCGGGGGCTGGTCGGCGCCCTCGAGAGCCGCTAGGGTTGCGTCAAGGGGGCAAAACTTTTTTCCCGGAACTCTAGGAGCAACCGTTGGGGAGTTACGGCCGAAAAACCGTGGGGACCGTAGGGGGTCTTCTGGCTGGACTTTAAAAAG